TTCTGGTAATTATTTGATTTTTGAAAGAATTTCCAATTCCAAATATATTCCAACAGGAAAAAAGCGCAATAAAACTAATCGTAAATATTACGTGGACTTCTAACGCAAAAGAAAAACACAAGATAATTAACCAAAATTTCGAACCTTCTAGAAAGGATTAAAAAATTTAATAAAATAATTAAAAATATACTTTGGTCTTTCCTCTTAATTTTGACCATAAATCATTGTTTTTCATTAAGTTTGGGGCTTTTTTTGTCAGGTGATGTTGATTTTGAGCGAAAACGTGGAGATACCCAGAACCCAGAGAAAGCCACTTCCCACGACTTCTACCATTGTCCTCAGTTGCGACCGTTCTGGGAATATGTTGGTCAGTTGGCGGCTCGTATCGATTCCAATCAACTTGTGGCCATTGATCTCGCATGCGTGGGCGATAATTTGTAGCCCCCGTTTTCTGCGGTGAAACGGATTGTTTTCCTAACGTTGCTAGCCGTGCCATGAATGGTGGTGTGGACATCACCGATGGGGGGGGGGATCTTGCTATATGAAAGCTATTCTCATCAGGATCTGGTCGGATTATTTGGGTATCAGCTCAAGATGAAGATCAGAAATGATAAAAAGCGTTTGTTATCAACAGATTTAAGTGAAATTGTGACGAGCCTGCTTCGCGTAAACGGAGTAGTCTTCATTTTCTTTTTTTAAGTCCCTTTGTCGCAACAGGAGTTAGAGTTATCAATATATATATATATATATATATATATATATATATATATATATATATATATATATATACATATATATATACATATATATATATATATATATATATATATATATATATATATATATATATATATATATATATATATATATATCAATTCCAGGCGGAATCAGAAGTCTGCTCACTGCAGATTACCGATGCTCTCAAACTGAACGCCTTCTATTCTTAGTGTTCAATCTCCTCGACATAATACCAGCCCATTTGATGTAGCTTAATATTTTGTTTAAAAAATGCGTACAACCAAAATTGATTTTTTTTCTGAAATGAAAGCAAAAAAATCGCTTTTGAAATTTTGCCATAAATGAGGGAAGAGATTTTATTAAAGTTTTAGGAAATATTTTTGTGTCGTATGTTTCACCCCACTTTTTATGTACTTTGTAATTTCTTAGTGGGTGGATCTCAGTTCGTCTAGTATTTTTAGTTAGACAAGGAAAAATCCCAGAAGATTTTATTTCAGTAAAAAAAAAAAATTGTCCAATATCAAATGTGAACATATGGAACTTCGGCTGGTATTTTTCCAAAATAAATTCAATAAAACACAAAACATTTTTTGAGAATTGGTGCTTGCACAATTTAATAAAACACGTTATTTTCCTTCCGATTGGGCAAAATAAATCTACATTTAATATTAATTTAAAAAAAAATGACTTGTTATTTTACAGTGCGATGTTGAAATTCCCTCCGTTGCCGTTCGTTGTTAGAATTCCTTTTTTCAAATTAAGACAGATTTGAAGATTCAAAAAATGTCAAATTTAATGCCATTTTTGAGAGTGAAACTTTTTAAATAGAATTTTAGTTTTTTTCCATTTAGCAACTATTAGTTTATTTTTGCTATGGATACGCAAAAATGATATAATTCTTATATCACGAATTGACTGACTACTATTCAATATCAGAAGGGTGTTATCGAATTTCATATCTCCTGTTCAGTTAGTTTCTGTGTAATTAATGCAGTTTTTCCGATCCATCGTTACGGGTGGTTGTTTATTCGCATATTTCTGTTTCTCTACATTTATTTACAGATTCTTGTATAGAAGAAGAAACAATACTAACTTCAGTCATTAAATGTAAATTGTTCTTTTAATTCTTTATAATTTAAAAAACAAATCTTTGGTTTATTTTTTCCTGCATAATTTCCTCTACTAAACTAATTCATTAACAGAAAATATCGTATATTGTCATTTTTCTCAAATTTAGACCTGGAATAAATGATTTTCTTTTCACGTTAATTGAACGTAAATTGCAATTACGTTATATTTTTCTTTAGGGAGCGACTTAATGCCTTCAAATGTATTCATTATCCTAATTTTAATAAAAGTGTAGAGAATAAAAAAAAAAACTTGTATTCTTAAACTATTGGTTAAAGAAAATCTATTTTAAAAAATAATAAGAAACTATTGATTATGGCACTTCTGGTTTGCCGTATTTAGATTTTATTTTTACTTTTTTGCGCGCTTTTTTTTACTTTAATTGGAATTAATTTTTGTTGTACCCTTTGACCCCGACAGGTTACCGGTCGCAAATAATACGTTATTGTAATTCTAGTTGAAGTAAATGTAAACATTACGTTAAGAAAATCCAATTAATCTGTAAATTTACTAATAGACTTTGAAACCCATCTCTCTGAAAATATTGTATTTTAAAGACATTTTTAAATTTGTTACTTCCATCTTTCGTGTATAATAGCCGTTCGATGAATGAATAAGTGACGAAAAAAGTGCCAAACTTGTAAAAATGCCTAAGTTTATTTATATCAGGAAATTAATTTTTTCTTTTAATTCATATTAGCTTTTTAGGCCATTATTTTTCAAATAGAATCAAAATTTAAATTTAAAGAAGTATTTAAAATGCGTTATTTGTTTTTTGTGTTTTTTATTTTTAGAAAGTTTAATATTGAAATTTAAAAACAATTATTTCATTTTTTGGCACTTTTCAGATAATTTTTCCTGGTTTTTCAATTCCATTTTTCGACTTTTCTCTCCAAATATAAAAAAAAAAAAAAAAAGAAAAGAAAAGAAAAAAAATGATTGTTTTGCATCAACAAATGACAGGAGAAAGCAAACAATTTAGGACGAATTTTTCGACTCCATTTATCGAAATTGAAAACACAAATATCAATAAATAATCAGGAGTTAGATTGATAATATATTTATTAATGAGTTTCCGATAATTTTATTTATTGATTTGAATAGAAAGAGAAAAACAAAAGGTATTTAAAACCCCATATAAAGGGTCAATTCAAGAAGAATAGCTAAAGGAATTAATCAGAGTTATTTCCCTTTGACTATTTTGAGATTAAGTTTCCTTTATGTTGCTTTCCTTCGGATATCGAAAAAAAGAGAAAGAGAGAAGAAGAGAGAGAAAACAAGGAAAAGATAAAAATAATTCAGGGGAGAGAAAGGGAAGTTAGCATTGTGGTGGTCGGGGCGGGGGGAGTCAGTGAAAAAGAAAATATTTGTCATTAATTTATTTTCATGGGAATTTCTTGATAATTGTTAATGATGATGATGATAATGATAACGATGATGATGCTATCACGTCGATATTTTTTCCCTTCATTTTAATAAAAATGATAATAATATTAATAACAATTTTAATAATAATAATAACGACGATGTTTTCTCTCTCTCTTTCTTTTTTGTCGCTTCAGGACATAATCTTCCGGTCAGAATAGAATGGACTGTCATTTTAATTCCAATCTACCCTTCTATTTTGAATCTAAAAGTAAGGGGTTGTGGATCTCCACAAACTCCTTTCCTTTTTCCAATATTTGTGAAATGTCATTCAATCTTTTTGTTATGGAGTGGTTTCTCAATGTCTTTTCCCTTGACTAGTCGCCATTCAAGACTAGAGAAGCCAGTTTACCCTACTATTTATTTCAGTTGAATCCAAAACATATTCTTTAAAATAAATCAAACATGAATTAATCGCAAACTAAAATAATATAAATAATTAGATGAAAAAAACAAAAACCAATTCAACAACCATATTGAGTGACTTTCATTTCTTCGACATTAAATGACATCCCTTAGCATCGGCCATAATTTACCGTGACTTTCAGTTAACCTGATGTCTATTTATAAGCGATGTGCCCAATTGTCATCAACAACCTTCCCGATGTCATCCGTTTTCAAGCCGGTCTCTATGCTGATGTCACAACTATTTACTCTTGTCTTATTGGTAAGTCTGGTCGCTTCAATAAAGTGAAATTGGCAACTCATCTCACAAAATACCTAAAATCTTTTGTTAACTGCGCTTATGTGTTACCGTAAATTCTGTGCGAACAGTTCCTTTCATTGGTAACATTAGACAGCTACACACAAACAATACCAACATACTAGTAAAATCGAATAGTCAAAACAAACTTATGATCCTTGAAAGAAAAGTCTCTTGCAACAAAAACTACGATGTCTCTAAATAAAAGTAATAATAATTTAAGATGCCGCCGCCTTTTCCAATGTATTTATCAACAGACACACAGACATCACGTACGTCGCCTCCATCATAAGACTCTTTACACACGTCACAACACTCACCAGTTCTATGAAATTCAACATTTCTTTCTACCTATCCTGATGATGACTTATCAAAGTTGAAACATTTGAACCATATTTCTCTTATTTTTCTTCCAATCTGAACTTTGGACAATTTCTGACGGAATTTCTTCCTTGTCTTTGAAGGATTATTTGTCATTTGGAAAAGTCAATCATTAAAATTAATCAACCAAAAATATGTTGTCTTTAATAACGTTTGACTTGAAGATTTGCTGCCTAAATCCACAATGTGTGTCTGTGTAAAATACAGGCACACTTCAAATATGTGTAGAAAACTTAAATAACATTTATATATATATATATATATATATATATATATGACTGCTTATTGCAACTTCTCAAAACTGGATATCTTCTGTCCTTTGTGTTCAATCACCTCACTATAATACCAGTCAGTTGGGTTCAGTTTAATATTTTTTTGATAGAAAGAAAATGCATTAATAAAACTGTATGGCTACGACTCAGATCTATTTTTATCTATTTCCTTATTCAATTTCATCTCTCTGCCATATATAATGGATTTAAGGCTCTCCACAGCTTCCTCTTCTTTGATTACCTGAACTGTGAATAAGTTCAACTTAATTAGAAATCTAATTCCGTTTTTTTTTTTAATGTTTTTCCCTTGAACTGCTGAGCTTTCAGTTTGCGGTCATCGAAAAATGGCAGACTTGGTTGGTCTTTGATAAACATAAGCAAATATAGAGAGAGGGAAAAAGTTGCGGGTGAAGGAGAGGGTAAAGAAAATAAAGAAGAGAGGAGAAAACAATTTAAGGTAGAGGAAGAAAGGGAGGGATGAAATTTAGAAGGGGGAGGAGAGGGTCTGTGAAAAAGAAAGGATTTTAACAATATTATTTCATCTGATTTTATTCTGATATTAATTTATATTATTATTAATGATGATGATATCACGACTAGATTTTCTTGTTCTCTTCCTTTTTAATCCAAACTTTTTAATGGTGATGATGATGAGGATGATTCTGTTGTTGTTGTTGTCCCGAGTCCATTTTTTTTCACTCACTGTTGCTTTTAACTCCCCCGCCGACCAACCACCGCCTCCCGGACGTGATCTTTCGTCCGTTATAGTCATATCGACCTACCGTCCCAGTCGGAACTCAAGAAGAGTAAGCAGTTTTAAAATTTCCCCGCCAATGTCAGTCTTAAAAAGAACCCTTTTTTTCCCTGAGGCATCAATAATCGGTGACTCCCATCCCGACCAATTCTTAAGTCGATCTTCGAGTTTTTCTCGAAAGAAAGAAAAAAAAAAAAAAAAAAAACTTTTTTTTTTTTTAATTATTTGACTCTTCTCATATTGTTATCAGACGAAAAGAAAAGGAAAAATTCAAGAATAGCCTCGCTAAAAAGAAATTGAATTTTTCTGCAGAAATTCAAAAATTTATTTTTTTTCTGTAATAAATTTTTAAAAAAAATCAATCAATTTTCACGAATTTCTTGTTTAATTTTTTTTTTTTTTCCATTTGAAAATTCAATCAAATTCAGTTCCACATTTTCTGTCAACCTTTGATGGTCGGAGAAAAAAGGAAACAAACGAAAATATCTTGTAAAATTCATCGTTTTTTCTTAAAGTTATTCAAGAATTTTTTTCTTTTTACATGACTATTTGCATCGACTCATATTACGAAAAATGAACATTTTTCTACCATTATATTCATTTGAATTCATATTGTGAAATCATTGAAAACATTTACAAAAATTTCCAATCGAAAAATTATTCACATTAAAAATAAATAAAAAAATAAAAGAATTTCAATTTTATTTTGTTTAGTTTACAGAAAAATAAATTTCATTTTTTTTTAATCAATTTTGAATATTTTCATTAAATTTTTTCCGTTGTTTTGAAAACAAATAAAGAATTTTTTTCGAGAAACAAAAATCCTGGGACCATTTCCAGATTTTTTCGGAAATTTGTGCTGAACCTTTTTCGGAAAAATAGAAAAAATTCCTTCCAAGTTGCAAAAATAAAAATGTCCAAATTCATTACCACAAAAATCGAAAATTTCTTTTTCAGTTTTCACGGTTTGAAGAATTTGTCCATTTTGATTCCACACAAAGAATTCCGACATTCCACATTTTGTCCCCAACAAATTCCCTGTCATGGGGTCAGCACGAAGGAGAGGGGGAGAACCCGACTCTGGCGACTTCTGAAGTTGGATTCTTTTTATTTGAGTTCCTTCTTTAGAAAAACAAAGAATTTTTTTTAAACTGTAATCACAAACAAAAAGTTTTTCGTCCATTTGACACAAAGAATGAAATTCAATTTCTTTTGTGTCTATTATTTTTACTTTTTCTAAAAATGAAGGACTTTTATTTCGCGCCAAAACCAAAATTCTTCCCTTCGACACCGACCCTCTCGACCACAAAACACCACAAACAGCCAAAATATCATTGAAAAGACGACAAATGTCCTTGAGAAAGAATTTCTTTCCTTCATTCTTAAAGAGACTTTGGTTGACGAATTCCCCAGTCTCGCCGAATTCTTTGATCAAATCGTTACTCCCATCGACAACAAAGACGTGATCGTCTTCGTCGCTGACGGCAAACGAATGAATCCACACGATCGAATCCTGCAGGCGGAGTTCGCTTTGCAGTTTCAATTTCCCTGGGTGCCATGTCTCTATCGTGATGTCGACCATTTCTTTTTCAAGTTGTTGCAATGATCGTTGGCGCCATTCTGGAAAGGTCACCACAAAATGACCTTCCTCAACAGGAGCGAAAGATTCGTGGAGCCGCAAAAAAAGCTCCGCTCTCAGCGACTCTATCCTAGAAACAACCTCTTTTTTATCGTCGTCGGTGTCTACCAAATCGACGAGCCATTTTTCCGCCTTCTCCACGAGGTTTTCTTTCTCTTGGACGGATTGCTTCCATTTGCTCTGTTCTTCAGTCGTCTTTCGTTTCATTTCGCAGCACAATTCTTCGGCCTTCTTCTTTGCCGCTTTCGTAACCGCATTAAATTCCTGCCAGACTTTTGAACAGTTAGATTCGCAATCGATTGATAATTGTTCAATCGATTGCTTCGTCCGTTCAATCTGCAGGTCGCGAACGCGTTTTTTCTCATTCTTCAAAGACGACGAAGCCATTTTTAGATTTCGTTCAGTCAAAATGAAATCTGAAAATGCAAAGACAAAAAAGTCTTTTTAGAAAAAAAAAAAAAAAAAAAAAAAACAAGAAAAGGTCAAAGTTCAAAACCATAAAAAGTTGATTTAAACCGAAAATAAAATGAACCGAATTTTTTAGATTTTTACAAGAAAAACAAATCGATTTCCTGAGAAATTTGTTTTCTTCTAAAATCACAAATAAATGAAGACGAAGGTGAATGAAAATATGAGAGTGTGGGGAATGAAAGAAAATAGCGAGAGAGAAAATAATATATATATATATATATATATATATATATATATATATATATATAGAGAGAGAGAGAGAGAGAGAGAAAAAGGGGGTGAGATGAAATACAGAGTGTGTCAGAAAGAAATCGAAAGAAACAAATGAGAAAGTGGTTATTGATGCAGAAATGAGAGAGAGAGAGAGAGAGAGAGACTCTCCAATTTGCTGCCTTCACAATCACTTTTAACATTCAGTTATTAATTAAATTGCTTCAGTGTTTCTTTCACTGGACACGCTTTAAGAAATTTCAAAATGGCGGTTTTTTTTGTCGTCTGCTTACGAAACGATTTTTTTTTTTATACCGACAAAATTGAACACAATTTAAATAAAATGGTCCACTCATTATTAATTATTATTTATTTTTTTATGGGGTCATTTTTGGCGCCTGTGAAGTATCTTTGTAGATTAGCATTAATTAGACTTTCAAGCCACGACGATTGTCAGAAAAAATAGGGTCCTGTTTATAATATCGATAAAGTGTAAAATCGATCCCTGACTTTTACACATTTTTTAAATGTTTATTTTAATACAAAAACTTCGTTTAATGAAGAAAAAAAGAAACAGAAGTTTTTGTATGGAAAAAGTTACATAAATTAATCAGGTCTGCATTTGTTTATTCTTCAAAGGATTATATTTCTCTCCGCAAAAGTAAAAAATTATGCAGATATCTCTGATGGAGGAAGTGTTTCAAACATAACATTTGTAAATAACAATTTAAGTCCAACAATTCTTCCAAAGTCAGGGACCGATTTTATACGATATTATTATTATAAACAAGACCCTCACTTTATAAATCGAAAAAAAAAAAAAAAAAATGTATCATTTTTCCATTCTGAAAATAATCGTCGTCGTTTGAAGAAAATGCAATGAATTTTCTACAAAAATTAATTCTCTCCCCCAAAAATGTTCACTATTTTAATAAAAATGGACCAATATATTAAAATAGTTTCAAGAAGTGAATTAAGTTTTCGGAAATATTACAAATTGTCTACAATCGAAATAAAAAAGAAGGAAAAAAGCAAATTCGATGATTGAAAAGAAAAGAAATAAGCAGACGACATAAATAAACATAAATAAACGTCATCTTTAATCTTTCTGATATCATTGGAAAGACTTTATCAGAAATATTAACTAAAAACGAATTTATTTTAGCACAGAATCCGGATCAGACATTTTCTATAAATTGTATGAATAGAAGAAAAATAAAAAGTAAGAAGAAGAAAAAGTTTATCTCTATGAATGAGGTTAAAAAAAGGAAAAATAAAAGCAGTAATTCTCGTTGTATTGATGAAAACATTTCGATTATTTGGAAATCGATATAAAAATTCTGACTTACATTTGATTTTGTTTCGATTTCACTTCAGGGAAATTAGTTTTTCTTCAAATTCGGGAGACAAAAAAAAATGAGGTCTTATGTTGTTTCACACAAAGTGAATTGAGCGAGAAGGCGCTGTGACGTCATTGGATATAAGGCATTTCATTGGTCGAGAATAATTACATGACTGGACCAAAAGATAACAAGAGAGGGAAAGTATGGAGGGAGAAGTGGAGGAGAAAAAGGTAAGCTATTATGAAAGAGTGGGAGAAGGGATCTTCGTTTTTCTTTCTTTTCAAATCGCTGACGTCATTTGAATGGAAAGAATTAAAATTATCAATCAATCTCTCTCTCTCTCTCTCTATATATATATATATAGTCTATTTCTATCTATCTATCGACAAGAGATTCGGTCATGGCGGGGATTGTTAGAGACGCCTTCACTAGCCTCACAATCAGTCCCCCCATCTCGCGGGCCGAGCGCTATTGTAGGCCCCGGGAGGAATCGGATTTCATTCGCGAGTGTCGGTGGCCGTCCCTCGGTCCAGTGACCTTTCTCGGCCTAGGAAGGTATTCTATCGTTCGCTAGTGGAGAGGGTCGCGAAGGATCCCCTACGCAAGGATCTCGATATGTCGGAGGATGAGCTTCGCTCTCACTGGTCTTGGGCGCCAGCGGCGGATTACCTCAGTAACCCTGAGTTTTCGCTTACCTGGCGACTGGCTCGGAATCAGCTGCCTCTCAACGACATGGCCTTCATATGGGGCTTGGCGGATTTGCCAGACTGCGATCGGTGTGGCCTTGGTCTGAAGGAAACGTCTTCGCACGCCTTCTTCCATTGCCCCCGGGTCCGCCCCTTATGGGACCATGTCGGCGAGCTGACGGCTCGTCTCGCTCCCGAAAAGCTCGTGCCCATGGATCGCGCATACGCGTGTGACAATGTGTCGCCCCCGTACTCCGGGGTGAAACGGATGGTGTTTCTCACGCTGCTAGCCACGGCCCGAATGGTGATATGGACGACGCGACAGGATGAAGTCTTGCGAGGTATCCGTCTTTCTCATCAGGATCTGAATCGATTCTTTGAGCATCAGCTCAAGATGAAGATCAGAACTGATAGAAAACGCTTGCATTCGACAGTCTTCAGCGAAAGGTGGGTGACTGAGGCGAGCTTGGTTCGTGTGAACGGGGCTAGCCTTGATTTTCTGTTTTAGGTCAAGCCTACGCTACATCGGGGTGGCTTCCTGTGGTGCCCTCCCCTTGGTTAGGCTAGACACGCTTTGGTGTACCTAGTTAGTGCGAGTAAGTGTTGCTCTCGGCCTGCCCCCGGGCCACATCTTTTAGTTATGATCCAGCCTGAGATTCCCAACCTCCCCAGTTTGTTTTTTGGCCCCCCACTTTTCTATCTCGACTGGGTCAGCCTTATACTTTCCCATGCCCGTATGATTTTTTTTTTATCACCTTTTCCCACTCCCTTAGCGAGAGAGAGCTGCTTGATTTTAAACCATGGGCAGAATACAGTGGCCTCCCTGCCTTTTGAGGGTTGGACAGGCCCTACTAACATCAGTTATGTTTAATTTGATTTGTGTTAATATACTTTTGTTCGATATTGGGGTCATCTCCCTCCCCCTCTCATCGTTTCACCATAGAATTTTGTAAATAGGTGTTAGTATCATTAAATTATTAAGACACGGGGCGCGTTTTGTAGGTCTCCCTAGAGTGGATGCGGTATTATGGTGCATGGAGGATCGATTGGTGACGGACGAGTTCTTATGGTGAATGAGTAAATTGTAATGTCTGAATGGGTCGTGAATCAAATTAGCTAGGTATAAGATAGTTAGTGAAGACCAGCCTTTTACCCCCTCCCCCTTTTCGGCCTTGTGCCACAGTTTTGTATTTAATACGAAATAAATATCTATCGACAGATAATATATAAATAATAATATATTGTTCGATTCATATCTATACATATATATATTTTTAGTTTTTCATATTTATCTATCTATATCTATATCTAACTAGATATCTAACTATATATATATATATTCTAAACAGATTAGTCTGTTCCCCTCTGTCTATATATATATATATATATATATATATTAGGCTATTCATGTATGTCTATCTATCTACAGATATGTACTAGTTTATTCTTATCTATGTACAGATATATATATATAAATATATTTAGTCTATTCCTATCTATGTATCTATATCTATATATTTATATTTATCTCTATATTTATATCTATCTATATATTTATCTCTCTCTCTCTCATATATATATATATATATATATATATATATATATATATATATTTATATCTATCTGTCTAGCACACTAGCGCCCGGTCCATACTCCTACCTTCTAAAGCGCTTTTCGTTCTCTTTCACTGTCAGTAGACCCTTTTTGGGAGTGAATTAATCAATGCACATATATATATATATAAACCACACGGACAAGCACACACCCAGTTTGACTGTGTCTGCAATAAGACACTGGAATAATGCATTATTCTTCCACTCAGTCTGAACAGCCTCTACCCTGGTCTGAATAATAATGTTGGACTTTGGAGACACGAAAAAAAAAAAAAAAAAAAAAAAGAAAAGAAAGCAACGAAAACTTATTAACAATAGACTGAAAAATGGATTTAAAATCTTGATAAAAATCTAATTTAGGCATGTTGCAAATATAAGTAACTTGAAATAATAATTATTGAATTCTTCGGACTTGTTTAATGTCCCAGACCGGCAAAAAGAAGAAACATTAAAAATTTAAAATTCCCAAAACCCAAAACAACTATCATCTTAATTCCACGGCTTAGAAAAATTCATTGGTTTTCGTATGTGATTTAGCCTGTGGAGACAGACAAAGGCACACAGACACACACACAGATAAACACAATGACATGTACAGATAGACACACCCACACACATATGTCCTGTCTATATTGCATGCTAGACCCGGATATATATTTGTCCCCCGTGTAGTGTCTGTAGTGTCAATCGGATTCTCGAACTTAAAAATAAGTTTAATCGCGTAGCAAAGTTTTATCAAGATGAAATGAAAATCCTGACCTTTTTAAAACCCTTCACATCAATTATATTGAAAATGTTGTCATCGAACATCAAAAAAGAAATACATAAAAGAAATTTAAAAATTTGCACAAGTCAAAAAATAAAAGCGAAAATGTAATTAAAAG